TTAATTTTGTGTTTTTCTTTCTGAAACTAAAATGGGCACTAAAATGAAAATTTGGAAAAGAAGAGGGACTCATTATTAGAAGTTCAGAAGAGAAATACCACAAAACAAAATTTGTCAAATTAAAATGAACAAAACGCACAAAATTCAAGTGTTTCGTCTGTCTCCCTCCTTTTACAGCCCGATTAGGGCCAAGTTGGCGATCCCAGAGTGGATTCTCTTCAAATCCATCAATTAACCACGGGCAAGGCTCAATTCGGTGAAGGCCTCAACCAAGGGAGGCTCCATTCGCTGCTCCTTGGCCAATTCTGCCATGCTTGTACAGAAATGGTGGACTAGAGGTCATGACTTGGGATTTCCTTTTTGTCTGCGATGTCCCCTTATGATATTTCTTAGTGGCTTCAGTGGACTTAATTCAAGAAATGGTGGTTTCCATCTAATGCATTCAGTTTTTCAATCCTTTCAATGATGTATGTTGTCAAGATAGACGTGGAATGCCGCAATGGGAAGTCCTTCTTCTTCTTCTTATTATTATTATTATTATTATTTACTGTCAAGTGTGAGTAATTTTTTTTGTGTTGGCCTCGAAACTTAACCTTTAACCTAAGAGAGTTGTTTAACCGTGGATCAGTGGGGCTAACTTTGGCCTTAGGTTGATGAGTCATCTATTTGTATTTTACCATAAACAACTAATTAGAATCAATGAAAAAACAATCCAGTTACCAACATTTCCATCGTCCTTTATTAGTAATTTCAAGAACAGTAGAATAGAGAAATCGTGCTTCAAACAGACCAAATGGAATCCAACACTACACTTCAGCTTTCCCTGTCTTCAGAAAAGGGAAAAGATAAGAACAACAGAACACTTTCTACCTATTGCATGCCTAAATATGTTTAAAGATCATCCGACCTAGAGGTTGGACTAGTTATGCCGGTTGTTTGCTTGGTCTCATAGAAGATTGTTCCCGATCAGATGCATCTCAGTGAGGATGGTACTAATGCCCATCCGGTCTTGAGGCAACTCCATGGAACATACCACACCATTCCTAATCAAAGAGACCAGACAGTTGATCGTGTTGCTACTACTTGTTGCTCGTGCACGAATCCGTCTGTTAATACTGGCTGCTTCAGGGAGTTGGAATACCGGAGAGATGAGAGAGAAACCTAGAGTGAGAGAACCTTTTCTCCTTTGTAACCTTAATCACCAGTCTACGGTAAGGGGTCTTCCTCCTTCGGAAATTGGTGGTCAACCCGAGTGGCAAGCGGTAGGTGAGAGAATCAACCAAAACCAGAAACCAAATAACCAGAGAAGATGGTACACGGATGCAGGATATGCAGACAAAAGAGAATGGAGGATTCTGGGAAAGGAGGATGCATCTAGATGGAGAAGGGATGGGTATGATAAAGGGGTATTGAAACCGGCCACCTCTTTTTTCATTGCAAACTTTCTCGAGGAGTGGAGGCTGGAACATATGTGGAAGGAGTTTAAGAGGCTTGGTAGGGTTATCCAGATTTACGTAGCAAACAAGAGGGATAAGTAGGGCAGAAGATTCGGCTTTGTAAGATATATGGATGTTAAAAACCATAGGGAGATGGAATTGAATTTGAGTGGAATAAAGGTGGGTGAGTTGAGACTCCAAGCGAACCTTGCAACGTACAATGAGGAAAATGGATCGGTTGGGCTGAGTAGGAGAGAGAACAATGCACAAGCAGGCCCTAGTAAGCAAGTGGAATCAAATGTTGCAGGAAAATCCTATGCTGATGCAGTAAGGAACAATAAGCAGTTGCTTGAAAGGAATGGATTGATGGGAAAACGTTGGACTCCAAGGAAAATCCTCAAGGAAAAGGAAGATATATTTGAGATGGGAGAGGTAGTGTAATGCCAAACGAGTTTGGAAATGGAAGAATGGTTGAAAAACTGCTTTGTTGGTCAAGTTCATAAGCCGGAAACACTCGATGAACTAAAACACAAAATCCTGATTGAAGGTTTCTTCTCAATCAACATTACTCTATTGGGGGGAAATCTTGTGTTACTATACAGTGAGGTTGAAGGAGAAGTAACGAATCTCCTCAAGGAAGGTAGTGAATGGATAGGAGAATGGTTGGAAGATTTAAGACCATGGAGTATAAAAGAGGTGACACGAGAGATTCATATGGATTCGATGTCATGGGGTTCCTTTGAATATTTGGAATGGGGAGAACTTCATCAAGATAAGAAGCTTGTGTGTGCACCAGGAAAAATGCAGCAAGCACGCGGAAGCTACTCTCCAGCACCACTAGGCCGGTGCAAATTTGTCAAAATGGCCACATAAGTCTGCAAAAATGGCCAACTAAGTCTACAAAAATGGCTAACTCCCAACTGCATTTTGCTTTTCATTCATTACCTTAGTTGGATTTTGCCTATAAATAGCCTTACTCCCTCCGTTGTATGCATGAAGTTTTAATAAAAAATTTCAGTGTATAATTCTCCTTTGTTGAGTGAGTTTTTTTGTTGGAGTGGATTCTCTCAATGTATCTCTATATTTTAGGTCTTGTCAACTTAAGTGGTGTGGCAGGTAATCGAATTCATCATAGTGGGATTCTAAATTTCGCCAAAATTGGTGTTTTGGTACCGGCTCTTGCACCATTTGGTATCGGAGCCAACATATTTGAGGTTTGCATGTCCTTCTGAGCATTTTGGTGAAAATTCGGTCTTTGGAAAGTTCCCTACACGCCACCACCATTGTCTCACGCATCGGCCACACGCACCTCTACAACTCCGTGAAAGTCACACGTCGATCATCTTCAAACCATCACATTGCCACGTCAACTGCCACTTCATCACTACGTCATCACCACATCATAATCTCATCATGACCACATTATCCTACACTACCATGTCATCTGACACCTCATCACCACATCACTGCCACATCATCCATTTGCCACGTCATATACACCACATCATTAGATTAGTCTAAATGCCACATCACCTGCCACGTCATTGACATGTCAACAAAACACATGCATTCTGTTTCCACGTAATAAAGTCCCTCAACTTATTCTGACTTTAGAAATTAGCCCCCATATTTTTATAAATTTTAAATCACCCCCACTTTCTAAAACTAATTTTCCAAAAAGCCCCTTTACCAACCTAAACTCAACATGCCTCCTAGAAGACAAAATACTCCTCGTTAACGAGCTGTTCAAGATGTAGAGATGGAAGAATTATGTCAACAAATTCAAAGGCTTCAAGAGAGACTCAAAGCTTTTGAGGGTCAACAAGTTCAACAAGCTCAACCCCCTCAAGATGAATCACATGAGTTAGAGGAAGATTCTGATGATGAGAACCCCTTCCATCACCGAAGGGATAATGAAAGCTCATCATCAATAGAAAAAGTTCATTGTCGACGTCCCCAACAAAATGCTACTTCTAAATCCACTGACCTTGGCATTAATATCGATATTCCAAAATTTGAAGGTCACCTTCAACTTGATGAATTTATCGATTGGTTGCACACTGTGGCACGTGTATTTGAACTCAAGGATATTCCTGACTATAAGTGTGTGAAGCTTGTCGCTATCAAATTGAAGAAACATGCATCCATTTGGTGGGAGAATCTCAAGCACAGTCGAGAAAAAGAAAGTCACAACAAAAGTAGAACTTGGGAGAAAATGTGTCGGGAACTCACTAGTATGTTCTTACCTGACTGTTACTACTAAGATAATTTTGTTAAATTTCATCACTTGCAGCAAAATTCTTTGACTGTGGAAGAATATACTATGGAGTTTGAACAATTAATGATGAAGTGTGATGTTTGAGAAAAGGAAGAGCAAATGATAGCAAGATATCTTAGAGGATTAGATTATGACATTTCTAAGGTTGTTCAACTTCGACAATATTAGACTTTGGATGATGTCATTCGGCTAGCATTGAGGGTTGAAAAGCAAATCTCGAAGAAGAATATCACTAGTGCTTCAAAACTATGGGATTTTGGAGCCAGTCGAGGGACCCAAGCCTAGAAAACTATTGCCAAGATACCTACCAAGGTTGAGAAGAAAGCTAGCTCGAGCCATCCAGCTTAACCTAACACTCGAAAGTGTTTCAAAAGTCAAGGTTTTGGCCACATAGCCTCTGACTGTCCAAACAGGAAAGTTGTCACCATTATTGGAGGAGAGGTTCACGAAGTCTCAGAAGATGAAGTAGAAAAGGAGCATAAGGATGAGATTGAGCCACCACAACTTGACGAAGAACTCATCCCAACTGACCATGGAGAATCTTTGGTTGTGCGTCGTAGTCTTCATGCTACCATAACCAAGGATGAAGATTGGCTCCGACATAACATCTTTCACACCAGATGTACTTCTCAAGGGAAAGTTTGCAATGTCATCATCGACAGTGGAAGTTGTGAGAATGTTGTGTCCAATTATATGGTTGAGAAGCTAGGATTGCCCATCAAAGATCATTCCCATCCATACATGCTACAATGGCTGTGAAAGGGAAATGAGGTAAAAGTAACCAAACATTGCCTTGTGTCTTTTTCTACTAGTAACAAGTACCAAGACGAAGTATGGTGTCATGTTATTCCCATGGACGCTTGTCATTTATTACTTGGTTACCCTTGGCAATTTGACCAAAAGGCTATCCATGATGGCCATGCCAACACCTACTCATTTGTGAAAGATGGTGTGAAAATCAAGTTCACTCCCTTGAAGCTTGAAGATACACTTGAAAAGAAGGATGAGGACAAGGCATTAATCTCTACATCAACCTTTCAAAAGTTGCATTGAGAATTAGGAATATCATGTCTCTTGGTATCATTCGAAGTAAATGATGCCACTTCCCCTTTTCCAGAGGAAATCCGATTTGTTCTTAAAGAATTTTCTGATGTTGTTCCTGATGAGATCTTTCTTGGATTACCACCGATGAGAGACATTCAACATGCCATTGATTTCATCCCAAGATTTGTCATCCCAAACAAGCTTGCTTATTGGATGAACCCTTGGGAGCATGTCGAACTTCAACGACAAGTTAAAGACCTATTAGAGAAAGGACTTGTCAAGGAAAGTATTAGACCATGTGCAGTACCTGTGCTACTAGTCCCAAAGAAAGATGGAACTTAGAGAATGTGTGTTGATAGTCGAGTAGTCAATAAAATCACTATCAAATACCACTTCCCAATTCCATGCCTTGATGAGATGCTTGATCAGTTGCATGGATCTAGTGTCTTCTCAAAGATTGACTTGAGAAGTGGATATCACCAGATTTGAATGCGTCTTGGTGATGAATGGAAGATAGCATTCAAAATTAGAAATGGTTTGTATGAGTGGACAGTCATGCCATTCAGATTGTCTAATGCTCTTAGCACTTTCATGCACCTTATGAACCAAGTATTTTGACTTGTCATTGGAAAATTTGTTGTGGTTTACTTTGATGATATCCTGATATATAGCAAGAATGAACAAGAGCACACGAACCATCTTTGGCAAGTTTTTGAAGTCCTTAAAGAGCAGAAACTTGATGCTAATCTCAAGAATTGTTCATTCCTCATTGCAAGTGTGACATTTCTTGGATACATCATCACTACTCAAGGCATTAGGATGGACCCTAGTAAGATTGATGCTATTGTCAACTGGCCTACACTAACATCCATGCATGATGTTCGAAGCTTCCATGGCTTGGCATCTTTTTAGTGGAAATTCATCAAGAATTTTAGTTCTATTGCCACCCCAATCATTGATAGCATTAAGGGTGACAAATTCTTGTGGAGCAACAAAGCTCAAAAGCACTTTGAAGAATTAAAGAGAAAGCTCATTGAAGCCCCTATACTTGCACTTCCCAACTTTGACCTTATGTTTGAAGTAGATTGTGATGCTTTTAATGTTGGAATTGGTACAATATTAAGTCAAGAAAGATGACCTATTGCCTTCTTCAACAAAAAGTTGAATGACGCAAAGCTCAGATATTCCACCTATGACAAAGAATTTTATGCAATTGTTCGAGCCTTGGAGCATTGGAGTCATTATCTTCTTTCAAAAGAATTCATCTTACACTCTGACCATGAGGCATTGAAGCATTTGAATTCTCAACAAAAGATTAGTCGTCGACATGCTGCTTGGAGTGAATTTCTACAAGCTTATCCTTTCTTCCTCAAATACAAATATGGAGCCCAGAATCGCATAGTTGATGCTCTTAGTTGCCAACATGCCTTGCTTACTTCTTTACAGATGAAAGTCACTAGATTTGAAGTGATCAAGGAGTTGTATAAGGATGATCTTGATTTTAGCAGCATTTGGAAAGCCACTTCTAATTAGGCCTTTTGGCAATATCATCGCCAACTAGATTACCTCTTCAAGGGTAACCGACTATGTGTCCCACGTTGCTTACTCCAAGATTCAATTATCTAGGAAGCACAAAATGGTGGATTAGCTGGTCATTTCGGGAGAGATAAGACTTTAGCTCTTGTTAAAGTAAATTTTTACTGGCCAAAGCTGGAGTAGAATGTCATTTATCACATTCAAAGATGCAAAGTTTGTCACCAGGTCAAGACAATCAATCAGAACACAATGTTGTATCTACCATTACCTATCCCAACATCATCTTGGGAAGATATTAGCAATGATTGTCCTTGGTCTACCATGAACTCAATGAAGCAAGGATTCTATCATGGTCATGGTTGACGGATTTCTAAAATGGCTTACTTTATTGCCTGTCAGAAAACTAATGATGTTTCTCTCATTGTTGAGTTATATTTCAGAGAGATTGTGCATCTACATGGAGTTCCAAAGACTATCTCTTCAGACAGAGATGTGAAGTTCATGAGTCATTTTTGGAGGACATTATGGAGAAAGATGGGTGCCTTACTCCAATTTTGCTCTGCTAGTCATCCCCAAACTGATGGTCAAACTGAAGCTATCAACAAAATTTTGGGGAATCTACTATGAAGTTTTGTGGGAAAGAATTTGTGACAATGGGATCTTGTGCTTGCCTAAGTTGAGTTTGCCTACAACAACTCTTCGAATCAAGCTATAGGAAAATGCCCATTTGAAGTCGTATATGGAATGCGTCCTCTCAGTCCTTTAAATCTTGCTCCATTGCCCACATCCCAACAATTTAGTGCATATGCTGAACAACAAGCCAAGGAGATCAAGAAACTTAATGAAGAAATTTGTGAGAAGCTACAATGTCAAACCATTAGGCAAAATGCTCATCATGACAAGCACTGAAAGAAGGTTGTGTACAAGGAAAGAGATTGGGTTTGGATACACCTTCGAAAGGAAAGGTTTCCTAACCAACCTAATGCTAAACTCTCCCCTAGAGTAGATAGTCCTTTTTAGATAATGGAGAAGATCAATGATAATGCCTACAAGATCAAACTTCGAGGTGACTATGAAGTCTATGCTACTTTCAATGTCATTGACTTATCTTTTTACTATGAGGATCATGAGCATTGATCTCAAACTCGAGGATGAGTTTTCTCCAACCAGGGGAGAAATTAATGCATCGGGAAAAATGTAGCAAGCATGCAGAAGCAACTCTGTAGCACCACTAGGTCGGTGCAAATTTGTCAAAATGGCCACATAACTCAGCAAAAATGGCCAACTAAGTCTACAAAAATGGCTAACTCCTAACTGCATTTTGCTTTTCATTTATTACCTTAATCAGATTTTGCCTATAAATAGCCTTATTCCCTCCATTGTGTGCATGAAGTTTTAATAAAAAATTTTAGTTTGTAATTCTCCTTTGTTGAGTGAGTTTTTTTTGGGAGTGGATTCTCTCAATTTATCTTTATATGTTAGGTCTTGCCAACTTAAGTGGTGTTCCAAGCAATTGAATTCATCGTAGTGGGATTGTAAATCTTGCCAAAATTGGTGTTTCAATATTGGCTCTTGTGCCAGTGTAACTGAGTCATTTTGGTAGACCAAAATACATTATGCAAAAAACGGATGGATGTGGGTAGAGTCCTTATCTCTACAACATCAATTGAAGACATTATTAAGATTCTCAAGATCAAAGTGGGTAATGAATTCTTCTAAGTGAGACTCTATGAAGATGCAGGAATTGAGGATGTCTTCAGGCCATGTTACTGATTGAAGGAGGATGGAGAATTTACCAACAAATCATGGTTAGAGGAGTCTTTGTTAGATCACAACACTTCATAGTGGGATGATATGGATTTAGAAGAGCTGGAGGAAAGGATACAAGAAACCTTGATAAGAAATTCTATTTTGGAGGAAAGGCGCCTGTTGGATAAGGAGGCTAGTTTCTCGCTAGTGGGAGAAGGTGAGAAGATGACCGTTGAAGTTGAAAAGACACTAGGGTTAGATGGGGAAGCGAAAATGGTGGCTAATTCAATTGCGGAATCCAAGGAAGGAGTGGGTTGTAGCCACCCAACAATGATGATAGACACTGTGCACAAGGAATCTATGAATGAGGCTGATTTACCAATGGAGAATGGAGACAAAAAAGTAGGAAATGAAGAGATGCTCGAAGCTGATAGAGCTAGCAGCAATGGCCCCTATATGAGCCCATTTGGTTTATCATACAATGAGCCCACACGAGTAACTTCTAGTGGGCCAAATAATGTTAAGTCTAGCCCAAATTAGTACACCAATGGTTGTGTGCAATCAATAGAGGTTATAAGCCATGTTAATCAAAAGGAACTTTCTAGAAAGTTAGGAGAAAGGACAGAACAATTAGGAAACAAAGGGCTAGCGACAAATGCAATTAAAGAAGGGAACCAAAGTGAAGATTGTAGAGTGGAATCTTGTGATTTTTGGGTAGGCTTAGCAAGTGAAGATGAAAAATCCTAGGCAAAATTAGAGGAAAAATTGAAGAAGGATAGAGGAGCTCAAAATAGAAAGGTGAGGGGCATGAAAGAAAGGACAATGGCTAGATACAAAAGGTCTCACCTAGATAGAGCCCATGGTGTTGCTTCTTGGATAAAGTAGGGAGAAGAAATCTCCTCAAGAGATAACGTCATTTCAATAGGTGGCATCATCAATTGCAAGTAGAGATTTATGATGAGATCATAGGAAGAAGAAGCGAGGGAGCTCTAGGCTGTGGGGAAAAAGTTGGCTCTTGTCAAAAGGGGCAACAAAGAGGAAATAATCAAGAGGCTATGTGAGATGGAAAAGAGGTACAGGATTGCTCTAGCAAAATAGAAATAGAAAGCTAGAATAGGAAAAGAGGGGGTGGTAGTATTAAAATGAAGATTCTCTCTTATAAGGTTAGGGGTTAGGAGGAACTGGGAAAAGAGGACAATTAAGGGAAATGATTGCAAAGGAGAAGTATGATGTGGCATTTATCTAAGAAACAAAATAGAACTCATTTGATGAAAGGATAGGTAGAACAATTTGGGGATTTGGTGAGTTTGATTGGGTAGTGAAATTGGCTATTGGGAATTCAAGAGGCATCTTGTGTGTATGGAATCATAACCATATCAAGGTCCAGAATAAGTTTGAAGGCTTTGGTTTTTGTGGATTTGAAGGTTTGTGGGGGAATGAGGAGGTACCTTGTGTTTTCATTAATGTGTATGCATTTTGTAGTCGGTACGAGAGGAAATTGTGGACAAAATTACAAGGGGTGCTAAACAACTATGGAGATAGATGGTGGTGCATTGGAGGGGATTTTAACGTAACAAGGAATGAAGAAGAAAAGTAGGGGCTATATATGGACTAGGGAAGTATGTTTGACTTTAACAATTTTATTTCTCGTACTGGTTTGGTAGATTTACCATTGAAAGGCAGGAAATGTACATGGCATAGGAGTGATGGCCAGGCAACAAGTAGATTAGATATATTCTTATTGTCAAATAGCTTTATATAGAATTTTTAGAACATGGTTTAGTGGGGATTGCGTTGCCTAGTAGTTCTACAATCTATCTCAAAAGATTGGGGGTTTGAAGCGTTTTAGAACCATTGATAGTTGGTTAACACATTCGAATTTTGAAGCTTTTGTGAAAGAAAGATCAAATGGTTTTGATGTAAGGGGTTAGGGTGGCTTTAGACTCAAAGAGAAGCTGAAAATGTTAAAGAAAGAACTCAAAGTATGGAATATGGAGATTTTTGGAATAATTGAGAATAGGATTGAGAAAGCAAAGGAGGAAATTAGAGTAATTGATGAGTAGAATGATTTAGGGAGTATTAATAAAGAAGAAAGAACAAAAGGGTAGATAGTTTTAAACAATTACAAGACTGGGCAGACATAAGGAATAAACTGTTGCATCAAAAAGCAAGATAAAAATAGTTGAAGGAGGGTGATTCAAATAGTAGTTATTTCCATTCTTGTGTGGTTAGCAAGAGAAATCAGAATAGCTTGTCTATAATGGTCTAGAATGGTAGATGAGTTGATGGAGTACAGGATGTTAAGGTAGTTGTAAAGGAGTTTTTTTAGCAAAAATTTAAAGAAGATAGTTAGGGTAGACCAATAGTGGAAGGTATTGAGTTCAAGAAGGTGAGCAATGAGGATAATTCTATGCTAATGGTAGAATTTTAAGTAGAGGAAATAAAGGAGGCAATGTGAAGTTGCAGGGGTGGTAAAAGTCTTGGCCAAGATGGATTTAATTTTAATTTCATCAAGCAGACATAGAGTGTATGGGTAGAGGATTTTTGTGGCTTCATCAAAGCATTTCACTAGAATGGAAAGTTGGTTAGAGGTTGTAATGCTTCTTTCATTGTATTAATTCCTAAGAAGTCAAATCAACAAGGTATGAATGATTATCGGCCTATCTCAATGATTGGGTGCACGTATAAATCATTTTAAAACTTTTGGCAAATAGATTATGGAAGGTGATGAATAAAACTAGTCAACATTTGTGGGGAGTAGGCAAATAACAAATGGAATTATTATTTTATATGAAGTGATACATGATATGAAGAGGAGAAATGAGGCAGGACTAATTTTTAAGGTTGATTTTGAAAAGGCATACAATAATGTGGATTGGGGATTCCTAGACTTTATGTTGGAAAGAATGGGATTTTGCTCAAGATGGATAGGTTGGATAAAGGAATGCTTGTCAATAGCAACAAGTTTAGGGCTCATTAATGGTAGCCCAATAGAATAATTTAATGTTGGAAGAAGACTGAGGCAAGGTAGCCCTCCTTCACCATTTTTATTTTTGATTGTGGCAGAGGCTTTAAGTGGTTCGATGAGAAAAGTTGGTGATATTGGGATCTTAAAAGCAATTTGGGTGTGTAATGGAAAGCTAGGCATATCTCACTTATTGTTTTCGGATGATACCATCCTACTTAGTGAAGCAACATAGGAGAATGCATAGGCCATGCAATGTGTAATGATGTGTTTTGAGTTGATTTTTGGCCTCAAGGTGAACTATGGCAAGAGTTGGCTGTGTGGATTAAATGTAGACAATAATACAATCAAGGAGTTGGCATCGACTATGAACTATTCTGTGCGAAGTATTCCGTTCAAATATTTGGTAGTAATTGTTGAAGCAAATCCTAACAGAATCACTACTTGGCACCTGATGATTGATTGTATGAGGAGGAGATTGGACAACTAGATAGGAGATGCACTACCGTTTCGTGGGAGAATTGTCCTTCTCAATGCCGTTCTATCTTGCTCACCCATGTATTTTTTCTCAATATATAAAGCTCTAAAACGATAATTAAAATATTCACCAAGCTTCAACGTAATTTTTTGTGGGGTGAAGGTGAGAGAAAGATAGCATGGATAAAATGGGAGGTGATATGTAGGAAAAAATCAGAGGGAGGGCTAGGTGTTAGAATCTTGAGTGCTTTAATAGAGCCTTATTAGGAAAGTGGAAGTGGAGAGTTTTGAGGGAGAAAAAAGAATTGTGGAGAAGAGTTATCTTGGAGTTGTATGGTTCTATTAGGGAAAAAGGGTGGGAAGGGTGTATACAGAATGAGAAGGGGTCTGTGTGGTGGAAAGAGTTGTGGAAATTGGAAAGGGTAGATAGCATAAATAATGAGTGGTTAAAGAATGGGTTTATAAGAAGGGCAGGGGAAGGCAAGGAGACATTGTTTTGGGAAGATGTGTGGATAGGAAGGGTGAGTTTAAGGAATAAGTTTCCAAGATTATATTCTTTGGCCATTAGTAAACAAGCCACGATAGTTGAGGTAGGTAGGAAGGGGGAGGGTGAAGGAAAATGGGGGTGGGATTGGCGTAGGACTTTATTTGTTTGTGAATCTAATCTTTGTAGGAATTGGAAGAGCTCCTAAGTCAAGTACATTTATAACAAGGACAAGATGATTATTGGGTATGGACATGGGAGAGCACTGAAAGCTACATGACTAAATCTGCCTATAATCAAATCACCCAGTCTCAATTAGGCTAGGAACTAGATCATTTTAAGCAGATTTGGGATGCATTAGTGCCTTTAAAAGTTGTAGTGTTGGCTTGGAGATCCTTGTTTGATAGATTACCTACAAAAGACAATCTAGCTAGGAGAGGAGTTATCACGATTAAGAAGGAAATCATGTGCAGTTTGTGCTTAATTGAAGAAGAATCCTTGTCTCGTTTGTTGTTTAAATGCCTTATTTCTTGGAAGCTCTAGTCATACTGTTTATCTTGGTGGGGGGTTTTTACTCAGTAGTTGAGGTAGATGTCTAAAGACATTTTAAAGAACATATGGGGCTCATTTACAATAACGTTCTTAGAGAAGCTTGGAAGGTGGTGTGGTTTGCAACATTAGGGCTATATGGAATTGGAGGAATCATAAAGCATTTCAGAAAAAAATAGGATAAGGAAAAAGATGTTGGTGAGCTCATTAAGTATAGGTTTTTCTATTGGGTAAAGGCAAAGCTGTTTCTTGCTTTGAAGCAAGATCTATCGAAGGATAACCCCAAAATGGCAATAAGAGGGTAAGCTAAGATCTAATCTTTAAAGGGGTTGTGCTATACTAATATTTTTGTACTGTTTTCTTGCATGGGAAAGGTAATAACACTGTAAGTTGTGGATTGTTTAAAGGTGGGGTACCCTTTGTACCCAAGGAAATAGATTTTTGACTTAGCAAAAAAAAAAAAAATTACTGGCTGCTTCAGCTTTTTGTAGTTGCTTCGGGTTTGTAATGTGCACAACTTGATTGGGAAAGGCCATTTTGGCATAATTATGAATGTTAAGGTCCCCTTCAAATTTATTGTCTGTGGGTCTCTTTCCTGTCATCATTTCTAACACTAGGATTCCATAACTGTATACAACCCCTTACATTGTAACCTTTCTTCCCATGCCCTACTCTGCCATTGGTGAAAACCAAAAGATTAGATTGAACAAAAAAATGCTAAGGAAAGATGGAAAAAGATTGAAATCATAAAGTAATATTATATTAGGATCACCTAAAGCAATATAACCAATTGTTCCCCTCACTCCAATTGAGCTACTTTCATTTGGCATTATTTACTTTGAAAGAAATCTTGCTAGTCCAAAATCTCGAACATGAGCAGTCTTGTCAATGTCCAAAAGAACATTGCTCGGCTTCAAATCACAACGAACAATTGGATTCAAGTAATGGTGATGAAGGTAATCTAGAGTAGAAGCAACATCAATAGCAATGCTTATCCTTTGTAAAAAATTTAGACTCTGGACTTTACCTTGGCCATTATTTGTTTCCTAAATTGATGAATGCAGCCAATTTTCTAGGCTTCCATTGGCCATCAACTCATAAATCAAAGCCTTGAAATCATTGGCTTTGAA